GGTAAAGCTTGCTTCTCGGGAAGTCAGCGGTTAGCCGGACCCCAACTGGCCAATGCAGCGTCTGCTCTCATAGGCGCTCAGGAAGTGTCGAGCAACAGCCCTAGGAGAGGGGAAGCCCTGAGGCCGAGATGGGATCAGACCCAAGGAAACTCGGACCCCACCACTAGGACCAGGACTTAGGGCTTTTCTCTCCATCTCGGCACCGCCTTCACGCCCAATCCCCCTCCGCCCAGGAGGTGGCGCTCGAGGACGCGCGAGAGGCCGGGCCGGGAGGCGGGACTTCCTGTCCTTCTGGGAGCACTTCCTGCCAGGCCCGGAAAACCGCTCATTTTCGTGGTGGGTTACCGGGTGTTCTCAGCCGGGATTAGGGTGACGCCCTCGGGCTCCCCCGGCACGTGGGTCCGGCGAGAGTCAAGCAGGTGCGTATTTCCCAGTGAGGCCGGGCCACGTGGGTGCGCGCACGGGGATGTTCGGGATGTGGTCCCGCGGGCGCACGAGCGGCGGCGCCGTCGGGATTCCCTGTCCCCGCAGGGGACTTTCTGCTGTGCCCGGCCGAGCTCTGCAGCCCTAGGAGGTCTAAAAAGAGGCCTGGAGAGCCTACAGCTGGGTGGGAAGCTCGCCCCCTGCCTGGGTGTGTTGGGGCTGTTTGGTTCGTTCCTCTCATTCATTCCTAGGCTTGCTCCTCCCTGACTTGCGTATGTGTGTGCACCGATTGTTACCATTGTAGTACTTGCCAGGGCCCTGGGCGTTGTGAAGGTCCCTTGCCAATTAGAGCATTTGAAGCAGCTTCACCCTTGAATGCGTGCTCTGCAGGAAGGACTTAAGAGAATAGGGTTGGGGACTGAGAGAGGCTCCCTGGGCTCCAGACGAGGAGGATTTTGCAGGTGGGGAGGGAAGGCACGGGCTCATTCTAAGCAGAGAGGACGGGCAGCAGCACCGTTAGGAAGAGCCCAGGCTCCAGAGCTCTCAGGGATGCAGCCACCCCTGGAGGCTTGGGCAGTCCCAGTCCTATAAAAGCCATGTTTTTGTTGTTGATGATGTTTGTTTTAAACAGGGATTCACCGAACCCCTGTCCAGTTCCTGTCCCTGCCCTCTCGTGTCATGGAGCAGAAAGTGCTGGCGGCAGCCCGGCCCCAGGGACTTAGGAACGAGCCCGATGCAGTCCTGCCCTCAGACTCGGCCTAGTGAAGGGAAGGGAGCACAGGCAGAGCGGCCGGCCCCGCCCTGGGAACGTGTGGGCAGGCTGAGTGGCAGGCGGCCTGGCGCCGAGGGTCCTGGGTGTGCGGAGGTAGCGGAGTGACCCTGGTGAGGTGCAGGGGGAGCTCCGGGGACGCGCTTCCTCACAAGGCTCTGACGCCGTGTTGGCCCAGGACGGGTGCAGGGGTGCAGGGGGAGGCGTGGCTCAGCGCTCCGGCTCTAAGTCGCATGGGGTTTGAGGCTCGGTTCTGGCACCCACAAGCTGAGCCTGAGTTTCGTGAACTCGAACAGGTGCTAGAGAAGAGCACTTAGCACCGTGCCTGGACGTCGCCCGTGCGTGGTCAGTGAGCACGGCTGGTATCTTGGCTGGTGTTATCTTGTCAGTGAAAGGAGAGAGGCGCAGGCCGGCCCCCAGCCTTGTGGTTAGGGGGGCCAAATTCCACGTGACCTTCCACCGT